TGGTCATGATGTGCCTATATTTGGTCGTGATGTGATGTCATGACCGTATTTAGGCATGTCACATGTGTTTGTCAAATAAAATTTGATAGTCTGGACAGGACTTACAGTAACAGTAATCAAACCGTTGAAGGGAACATTTGATTAACTTGCAGAATTATGATTTTGAACTTGATTTCAAGGTTTTTAAAAAAAACAAAAAAAAAACAAACTAGTTACAGAAGCTGAGACAGGATATGAAGGCTGACAGTGAAGGAAGTATGGGATTTTGACGGTGGCCTGTAAGAGATCAGTTGTGGAAGTCCTAGTGTCAGTTTTGTTCAATCCTTCTGTACGAAGCCTAAAAAATAAATTATGCGGATCTTTTCCATGAATTTCACACATTAACGATCTGGACAAGATGTCGGTTGTTTTTCAAGTGCCAAGCGCAGTGGCTAATCTGGGAGGTAGTCAAAGAAATCGGCAAGTACAAAAACATGTCATTGACTATGTGCTTGCTTTCCCTTTAACGTCATCAGAGGCACGTAGCCTGTTAGTCACGCCGGCTGGATCCTGTCATTTTAATTCTAGGCTTAGATAGCTGCGGTATCACTCTGCCTGTCAATAGCCGTCGGTGATTGCACGTCTCTTTAGGCTAGGCTTAGGCCTGGCTTTTCTAGAACTAATATTAGGCTAGTATATTTGATGGTGGCTTTTTATTAGATAATACACAATTAACTTGTTTAATACACCATCCTCTGTGTGTATAGTATTATGACTTGTGTGGATCACATTTTCTTTCAGTGATTCCATGTTTGTTGCAATTGCTAATTGCTGTACAAGTGTCTTTGCTGGTTTTGTAATCTTCTCAATCATTGGCTACATGGCCAACCAATTAGGCAAACCTGTTGAAGAAGTGGTAGATCAAGGTAAAGTAAAAGTCATCTGAATAGGCTACATATCCACTTGATTTTATGGTCTAAATGGTCAGTTCATATTATGGTCTTTCTTGCTGCCTTGATCCACTTTGTGTCTTCTGCTAAATATTCATAATTTAAAGGTTGCTCAATAACAAGCAAATGTAGATGCAGAATGACCAATTTTTATATTAGTTCCGTAAAACCTCGAATTGAAGCCCTGGGCTTCTTTTTCTTGCCAAGTTTGGATGGGCTTCTTTTTGAGGCTACTTTCGCAAAGTAATGAGTGGGGGGCGGGGATTGGTGCTTCTTTTCAAAATGATTGCTGTAAATTTTGGGAATTAGTACTATAAAACAATAAATAGGGCCACTGTAAAATCAATCTGTATCATGGAATGTATCAACCGACATTAAATCACCTAAACTACTGTATAAACCAAGCGCGTTTTTATTTATTTTATTTTTTCTTTAAAATTCATGTACAGTGTACAGTATGTACTGTATTGTTTCGAAAGGAAGCCCATGCTATCTTGAAAGGAAGCCCATGGGCTTCTTTTCGAGGCTAATTTTGCAAACTAAAGAGGGGGGCTTCAATTTGAGATGGGCTTCCATTCGAGATTAAGCCATTGGCTTCAATTCGAGGTTTTGCAGTAGTATCAAGCAATATAGTAACTCAGGAAGTTGTGGGTTTAATCAGGCTGGTTTAATTCCCATTCAAGTCACTTTTGTTTTTTACACGTATTTCAAACACGAGTATTCAGTGCATTAAAGCATGTGATATTTGGGGAAATATATGTTCCTTGATGTAATACTGTTGTAACTATTAATTATACGTTTGTTGTTCAGAAATTATATTTTACTTAATATAAAGTTTTGTATTCTTTTGGTCTGAATGATTATACAATATATTCTAAATGTTACACATGAAGAGAAAAACTCTTAAATGGTCTGGCTGTAGTGTAGTGCTTTATATAAAGAGGAGGCTTTCGTTGGAAGTTTGAACTGATTGGAGGCAATTAAGTTTACATTCTAAGGTAATAATGATAACACGCATGAAACAGACATCAATGTGATACGCCCTCTTCAAACTTGCAGATTCCTCTTCTTTACCGTTTAAAATTGTATATATATAGAAAAGGTTCAATTTGACAGTTACTTGATATTTGCAACTTGTGTTCATTGGATCTTGTAAATATTGTGTTCTGGAAAACCAAAACAAATCAAGTTAGTCCAAGGCCAAGTTAAAGTTGAAATACTAAGAGTACAGACAGACGTCTTGTTAACCCTTACGCCCGTATTCTTAAAACGAACTTGAGTCGAACTTCGAACTAGAACCTCATTTAGAATTAGTTGCAACTTCAACTTCAATTTGTATTCACAAGCAACATAGTCGAAGTTCTAACTACGACTAAATCTAGTCCTAGTTATAGTTCAGCTGAAGATGGCTGGCAAGCAACAACTATCAAACTAACCAATGAAAAGAGCTAATTTTAATAGCAGACGAAATTTTAGAGATCTGGTAACACAAATGAATATTAATCTGCTGTCCCTCTTTCACAAACATATTTCCTCACAATTCATAATAAGACCATTATTCGTCTAACTAATATTCAAACATGTTAATTTCACATTATGGAAGCTAAACGTAATGTCCCCTTTCTTGAACACACTGGAGATACATCAGATCTATTTATACAATCGTTTATATTCACTTTGTATATCGTAAGTTACAAAAAGCACGTTTTTAGTGGGGTAAATATTTCAAGTCGGCGATTTAGCATGACCCTAGTTTTTAGTCGGCCTGAGGAGGTATAATTTTAATCGAGGTTCGCATGATTTAGTCGTAGAGCTAATCAAAGTTTGTTTTAAGAATACGAAATGACGTAATTTTGAGGTTTTAGTTCAAACTACGACTAAAGTTTGTTTTAAGAATACCGGGGTTAGACTAACGGAAATGTGTTAATAAACAACCACAGATCCCATCCAATTAAATGCTTTTTTGGTAAATTCCAAGCTGCTGCAATTTAACAATAAATAACCTTGCAAACTTTAAGGCATACAGTAGTTTCTCATAGTCTTCATCTACCCTCTTTCTCTTCGGAATTATCAGTCATCAGCCAACACGATTCTATGGACATCCAAACACAATGCGTGTGGGTGATGAATCGTTTTCATTTATAACTCGCTCAGACTCACCAGTAATCAGCATTGCACCGTCAAGTGCTCACACAGTGAAGACGATGGTCAGCCAATGGATGTTTACCAAGCTTTTAGCACAAATTTGATTGTGCCTTAGAAGTATTCATCGAAGAACTCGTAGGTAGCTCGTAGAGTACTCGGGGTACACTAATCTAGCTCGTACACTATTCTGGATACTCGTCAGTGGTTTTGTCATCTACGAGTTCGATATGAGTACCCCGAATGAAGTACGAGCGCACCGAGTTGGCTTGTACCTAACTCGTATCTTATTCGGTACGAACTTGTTAGAGAGAGGGGCTTTAGGGTATACAAGGGTATACAAAGGTATACAAGTATATAAGGGTATGACATGTGTCAGCTTCTCTAGTATAACATCAATGTTTTAAACAGAAATATGTAAAGTTACTTTCAATCTAGTTCAGTTCACATTTTTTGGAGAATTGCAATGTTTACTAGTTTTGGTTGATATAGTACAAAGGTCAGAATAATTGGTTCATAAAAGTTTTGAACTGTCAAAATGCAGAGCATTCTCCGCTTCACTGATAAGAATTAGTTGTAAGTAGCTTCTTTCTCCTGCTCTGAGTAGATAACACTGATCCCTCTACTGTGACCTACAAGTACTTATACTTCAGCTCTCTTCAATCGATAATGGCTGTGTTGGTTTAGGCCACAGATAACAAGCTATTTTGACAGAATTACAATCTTGAGCAGTCAAACACAGTTTAGTTAAAGATGCGCTATCTGGCTTTCCCTCCTGTTAGCGCCTGAGCTGAAGTTGTCCTAGATTTCAGCTTTCGTGGAGCCTACATCCGTAACAAGGCACAGCCTTCATTTATCTTCCCCTACCGGATTCCCCGAGGGCAGCTGGTAAACCCCAGTCTATTGCCCTTGGAGGTGCCTTGATAATCTGCCCTGCTTGATAACCACTTAATCTAATGATATGCCTTAATGAAGAGTTGGTAATTGCCATGGCAATGAATACATCTGTTAGCAAAGCTGCAAATTTTCCTCACTTTCCAATGTAGATGTGAACAAGCCATGACCATTTGGATCATGCATACCCAATGGAGTGCTTTATAGTTGAACCTATGGCTGTCTAGATAAGAAGAATAGTAGGTCAACAAATATCTACAAAATTCATGTCCTTAAAATTCAGAGTACCTAGATGAATATTGTACTTTATTAAATCACATGCTTGTTAGGTCATTTATCCTAAAGTTATAGTAGAAATTTTTACCTAAAAGTATTTGGTATATAATGTTTTTATTTTAGCTTAGTATTTTTATATGAGATCCTCCTCGCAGTTTTTTTTAACACACTCTGTCCGCCCTTCAACTTTATGGAAGTCGGTGATTTCTCTGCCTCTGTTGCCTATTGGAATGACTTACCAACCAAAATTTGACAAGCATTATCATTAACACATTCAAACAACTACTCAAAAAACATCTTTTTAATTTATAAAATGTCCTCAATCAAGGATGAACTATTATTATTATTATTATTATTATTGTGATGGTTATTAATATTTTATTTTCAGTATTTATGGCATATACAGTTACACTTGTGTTATCACATTGACAAAGTTGTTCTAAGTTTGTAGGCTGATGATGCTTTTTTTAGTTTTTTTTGTCTTAAATTTCTCTTGTAATTGAGTACTACATTAGGAGATGTTACAGTTCAAGAGAGATTGTGGGTTTGTAAAACATAAATTGCTTTGTGTTATTTCTTGCCCCCCTCCATTTTCTGACCTAAAGTTTCCATTTTCAATTTAAAAAAAAAATTCTGTTAGCAAAGAGGCTGTATTTTCTTTTGTAGATTAAATGAATGACCAAATATAATCACATGATAAAAGAGGATATTAATATTTGTGTGGATGATAAGTAATGTATGAATTTTTTTTTTCAATAGTCCTCTTCGAAGACCTCAGAACCTAACCAGTCAGATGACCTCGCGCGCCAACTTCAAACAACAGTTGATGCGCCAGCAGGTGGAGCAACAGGAGCAATTGGAACAGCAACAAAAGGCAAATTTTGCGGGTCCTTCGTTTCCTCAGACGAGACCTATTGAGTTACAGCAACAGCCACAGTTGGCCACTATCCCTGAAGTTCCAAAAGACGTCCTTGTGGTAGGTTTTAATTTTGCAAGTTTTCTTTTAAGGCCAACTCTTGACAGTCTTATACGACTCAGCAATTCATTGTTAGAGAAAGTCTTATTATGTTTATTATTTTATGACGCACAGATCACTTCAGGCTGCGTTGGTCTTAAGAATGATGATTACACTGACGTGTTACCTTTTATTCAAGAAACATGTATTAAGAGATTGTTTTTATTCAGTGAATGTTATTTATTAATTATAATTATACTTGATATTTCATGTGTTTTTTCTGAATTTTACCAGACAATATATTACAATATTACGCGGTTTTAAAAATTCTTCTTCTATCTGTTGATTCTTAAGGCGTGTTTACGCAGAGCGCGGCACTTGGGTAGCAAAACTGACATTCATTCACACAGGGCAATCTATTTACACAGTGCATAACAACTCTTTTCTATGCATCATTTGCGGTTTGTTCAGCATGCTCAAAAGATGATCAAAGTCACTGATTGGTCAAAATACTTTTTTAAAGTGAATTTAATTTGACCGTAAAGTACATTCTTTTAAGTATGACCTGCTCCATATCTGAGCAATAGTCATAGGTAGAGGATAAAAATATCCATAATATCTGCAGATTCTAAAAACGTAAGAATAATAAATATACTTCAATCACATGTGCTAACATTCCCAAAGGAAAGATTAAAGAGGATTAAATGAAGTATACAGCACTAATTTTATAAAATTTAAGGCTTCATAAATCTATAACGGTTCCATTCACATCCGGGCAAGCCCTTTGATTTCCTGCAAGTGGAAAAAATGTTTACAAGTTAGCGAAGGGTTTATAGATAGGCCTACTGCCCTGCTAATCAAATCAAATCTGTTCTTAAAACTTAACTTTTTCCATAGTTCATACTTTTTAAGCGCTGTAAGACTCCTGTTAAGAACGCTACATAAATGCTACGTATTATTATTAAATCTGGAAAATAATAAATTAAACTGATTGCTTTGTGTCAATAGGTTATAAGCATTTAACTGAAAATTGGAACAAAAACCAATTTCTCTCCAATTAACAACCATATAATAGCATTCCTATACCTTCCTGCCAGCAAACTTAAGGAATTCCACAGCGAAAAGTCTGTAAATCATTGACAACTAATTTTTTTTTATCTGTGACTAATTGAAAGTTGATAATTTATATTGATACAATAAACCTTAATTTGAGTAAATCAAAACACTATACGTGAAGTATTCTTGCCTATATGCATGGAGCCTGTCAATTTCATAATAAATCCCTATAGAGAGAATCTTGGTAAAAATACTCGAACACCGTCCTGAATTTTAACACACTCCCGGTTTAGTCATGCATATTAATTGTGCACAGAATTAGGATATCATTTTGCGAAGGTAAGAAGTCTTTGGAAGTGCCTTATGGTGAATGATTAGTCCATTAGGATATTAAAATCTAAGACCTTTCTCTTAGTCAAATTCCTTATATAATTTCCTCCGTTTTCCCGCTAATTAATCACCAAGATGAGGGGAACATGATTTAATTTCATAATATTTATTTTGTGTTCACAATGAACTGCTGTTTGAAGTACACTAAACACATTGGAAGGGAAGGGATTGTAGTATAGTGCCTAAAGGTGTTAGTGAATTAATTTGATTAAAATCATAGTGTCAATGACCCTTACAAAAATACATCACTTAATGCTGAAATGAGCAAGTTTATTTTTACGTTGGCATTACTTTACCAAAATATTATTTTCAACATTATTTTAATACAAAATAAAGTTTTCTTCCATATATGACTGCATTGTGTTGGTTTATTTGGAATATTAATGTAATATTAATAATAATTTCAAAGTTAAAATGATTTGATAATTTAATTTTAAACTGTAACACAAATAATAAAACCCCTCTTCAGAGAACATTATATTACATTACTCTATGACCTGTTCCATAAAGCCAGTATAGAAACTTTAATAGGAACCTAAAAAAAATAAGATCAATTAAGAGGCACAAAGAATCCAAAAACCTGAGGCATACTAGTGACAGTTAGAATTATTACATAACAGTTAAAACAATTTATTTTTTTTATTGATTGATTATAGTTCAGTAAAATTGATCTGTATAAATTATGAATTAATTCTTCCATTTTATGATAAAAGAAAAAAAAGTCAATTTTTTATTTCTTTAATTGAGATATATGTAGAGAATTTAATTTTGATTTTATGTCTCATTGTACTATGCATTTTATTTCAATTTACCATAAAGTTATATTACCTACCTGTTAGCTAGGGAAACTGTTAGAACTTGCTCACTTCCTATTGGCTATTAAAACATCGTGAAAGATTGTAGTGAGCGTACAATGATCCATGTTCGTCCTCTAAGGGGATACAGACATGTCAAGTTTATCAGCCAATTAGAATGTAGGAAAGTGACGTGGGAACAGACAAGAGAGGGAAATAAGTTTAGCTTGAAAAGCAATGGCAAAGCTGGTCTCGTCGTCATTCATGTGTAACGATTATTCTAGGCCTGCTTCTTCTTCACTGCCTCACTGCCTCACTGTTACGATCACCAGGGCTGGACCCCAGGAAGACAATCAACCGCCTAACCCAGGACTAAGCTTAGAGATAGAGATAACGTTAATATATTTATTGATTTCATTGTTACCTGCTCAAAAATGATTGACTGTGCTTATTATAATCACAACTTCGGTGCACCCTTCTTGCATCATCATCAGCAGCAGCAGTATTATTACCAGCAGGGTAACCAGAACCAGTATGGCTACCATCACCAGATACCGGTAAGCTTTACCTAGCAACCAGGTGTAGAAGATGCTCAGTTTGAACTTAATTCTTTTAATGTGAATTATAATGTAAGAAGTAATGCTGAAATCTTGCAGTTAGGTCATATTTATTTTTATTTGTTTTTTTTCTCTCTTTTGATAATGTATGCATGCAATTAGATATTTCATGTATAACAAACTTAACATGGTAGTAACAATCAGTAAAATTCAATTGGAAGTATAAAATATTTTTTATGCAATAACTTGATTGGCCTCCTTTTTCTTGGAGTAAGTTCTTAAACCTTTCTTGGGACTATTATTCATGGTTTCATTGGTCCCTTAATTTAAATATTCAATCAACTTTTGGTTTCGTTGTTAAAATTCAATGCCACATACTTCTCAAAAATATTTCCTTTAATGATAATGAAACTAAAAGGATTTTTTTTTTGTGGTTGGTTTAGATAATGAGGCACAACCTTGTGTAGTACCTTAGTATTTAATGTATAAAGAATAAAATTATATATATAAAAAAAAATACAATTCTAAAACAATAGATATAATTGTTTGAGGTTCTGTAAATAGAATCTTCATTAATAAAATGCAATAGAATAACAAAAATGGTCCTAGATAGTAACACTTAAAGGTTTTGGGTTCTATTCCCATTAAAATCACTTGCATTATCTTTTCGAAAGTATTTATTGGCACGGTTTTTAATGCAATGACACATCATTTTTAGGCAACAAATAGCATCCTTGTTTAAAAAAGTAGATGAAGTAGAATTTTTATTTAGTTTAATTTAATATAAATATCTAATATTTCAGCATCAGAAATATAGAGACTTTTAAGGGTGGCTGGGTAGTCTGAGAACAATTATCTGATTTTAGGTCACATCTGACAATTATTTTATCTTTTGATGGTATACTTTTGTGTCATCATTACCGAACCATTATTTTATATGTTTGCTTTTACCATAATGGGCTTACATGATGAGGGTATCTTTGTACCATTACCATCCATTTATTGGCCTGCTCCAACCATAATAGGCTTATATATTCAAGGTTTATTAGATTTTGTAGGTATCTTGATGCATGCAATTTACATATTCACTCATCATTGTCGATCGTTTTAAAAGTGCTTTTGTAATTAAATTTTGTAGCCCGCGGATGGTTTTATTTCTTCTAACAGAGAAATATTGGTTGGTTTTGGTTTTCGGTTTTAGCAAAATTACACAATATTGAATAATAAGTAATGAGTAAGAAAAATTGTAAAACTTGATTAAATAGAATAAAAGAAAACATCCACGTAAAAAATAAGATTCTGATTACCGGTACTTGGGCTTTACAGGACAAATGTAATAAACTGGGTGATATTTACAATAGCAGCGTAACAATAAACTTGGTATACTATAGGTTTTATTTTTTTAAGTACAAGCCAAACTGCTACTGAACAATTGATTGGGTCAATTTTGGGGTGGGCTAAAACCAGAGCAGCACAAAAAGCAAAAGTATAGTGCGCTTAAATGTCTAGCATGCTTAAATCTTCATGATTTATGAGCTTATCATTTAAAACTTTTAGGGAAAAAAGTGAAAAGTGAACTTCTAGAAAGTAACAAGTAATTAAATGTTGTCCCTATAATGTAAAACGCAATTGAATTGGTTCCTGCTTTGAGTAAGTACTGAGCCGTCTTCCAAGGTCATCATGACAACTTTAGTAGTAACTTCAGCACTCAATTTCCTGTCTTTTTAGATTGTGGTCCTGATAATTTTTCTGATCAAAAATTTTTTTTTTATAATTTAATAAAAAAGAAAACCTTTATTCCAGTGGTTTTCCCAATGATTATGATGTTATTTTCATATAAATCTTCAAAAGAAATAGGTATTTTCGATTTAAGTATAAAGCGCTACATGTTTTACTTTTATATATTATGGTATGAACTTGACTTAAAATGAATTTGCTTCCAATTATGCTTTATCTACAAGGATTTTTCTTTCTCCGTAATTGTTGACTCATACCATTCTACATAGCATTGTGTATCTTAGCTTCCTACTTTATTGTCTTAAAAATTGTGAAATTATACAAAGATAATTCAAAGATTTGGCCAATCGTATCCTGTTGGCACTGCGCCTTCATTCGTTTCCGTCATATCCTATTTTTATCAACTTACTGTATTACCTTGAGGATCTCGTAGACTTACAGCGAGTTTCCTCACCTGTCCTCGGTCCTAGGCCACAATGCACCTGTT